ATGGAAGCAACCTAAGTGTCCATCAGTAGATGAATGGATAAAGAAGATGTGGTACATATACACAATGGAATATTATTCAGCCATAAGAAGAAAACAAATCCTACCATTTGCAACAACATGGATGGAGCTAGAGGGTATTATGCTCAGTGAAATAAGCCAGGTGGAGAAAGACAAGTACCAAATGATTTCACTCATATGTGGAGTATAAGAACAAAGGAAAACTGAAGGAACAAAACAGCAGCAGACTCACAGAACCCAAGAATGGACTAACAGTTACCAAAGGGAAAGGGACTGGGGAGGATGGGTGGGAAGGGAGGGATGAGGGCAGGGAAAAAGAAAGAGAGCATTATGTTTAGCATGTATAGTGCGTGGGGGGCATGGGGAGGGCTGTGCAACACAGAGAAGACAAGTAGTGATTTCACAGCATCTTACTACGCAGATGGACAGTGACTGTGAAGGGGTATGTGGGGGGGACTTGGTGAAGGGGGGAGCGTAGTAAACCTAATGTTCTTCATGTAGATTAATGATACAAAAAAAAAAAGCAATATAAATACTCTTTTGGCTGACTATCTTGTTCCATAGAAGCACAACTTTAGTTTAAAATAGTAATCACCAATGAGAGAGAGTCAGTTCTCTCAATTTCCTCTTAAATATTTACATAGTATTTACAATATGCTGTAGGCTAAGCACCCTGCCAGGTACTGGAAATAAAAACATTTATAAATATTTTCTGCCCCCAAGGAGTTCACTCTATTAAGGGAAATAGATCTAGAAGCACAGAATTATAAAATGGCAAGTAGAGCATTCAGAAGTACGCAGAGGCCATTACGGGACCACAGAGAAGGGATCTCTGCCTACTGTTCCCTCGGTGATGTCCATCAGTGCCATCACTATCATCCTCAGAAGCCTCTGTGAATACAGCGGAAAAGCAAGCAGCAGATTCCCCACACAGATTTTAGGCAATTGTTAATATAAAACACAGAAATGAAAAATTGCTGATATCTCTTGGCCTATATAAATATGTTTAAGATCAGATTGTACTGGTAGATATGACCAAAGGAAGAAGAAAAAAAAAAAATTTTTTTATTTAACTTAAGCAAAAAGAATAAAAACTTTAAAAATCCTGTTCCTCAAATATCATATATATGTATATTCAAATTCAAGGATCCACTGAGAAGTCTAATACATTGTTGGCTACATTGCAGAATGTTTTAAATATTCTCATTAAATTTTTTTCTCAAAGGAATCTGTATTCCGAAATCAGATTTCATACTCATAGTCATCTTCTAAAGGGTCTACATCTATAGTAAAAAATAAAAACAGTGCTTACCCGGAGAGGTAAACTTCACCTCAGAAAACCTTAAGTCATATTCTCCATGAAGCTTTTGTACTATACTCCTCTAAAAGTGTGAGGCTGATGGGTGTACAAATTCTTAATAAGACACAACAGATGGACATGGTTGTGAAACATGGTTAAGACCAAGGAGAAGAGGCAGTTGATGACAAGCAGAAAAACGTACAATTCTCACTTACATTTAGGTGTGGAGAACTGATTTAAAAGCTACTTGAGATGCCTGTCATAGAGCTTTAAAACAATGTGTTAAAAAGTTCTTTTGTACTGATTATACATAGCACATATGAAAGAATTCACCTTTCATTTGAAATAACTCATAACTGGGTTTTTATATAGCTCAAACTATAAACAGGGTACCAAATGACAAAATCATGTAACTAATTTTAGAAATAAGTAAAGAAAAAGAGACAGCTAACCAGTACCTATTTTGCCTAAAAAAGCTGACAAGAGACAAATACTGTTTGAATAATAAAGATTCAAATCTTGGGGTATTTTATATTGTAAAGAATACAAACCTGTAGCATAGGATCATAGAACAATCAGAGGTATCAGAGGTTTTAGCAAGTAAATGAAATGCGTTAGCAGAGAGAAGGAAATCAGCTACTCTAATTCTGACCTATAGGGCTTTTTCCTTTTTTGTTTCTCCAGAAGGATTTTCCCCATGACTGGAGTTTCTCAGAGTTTTTCTCCCCTTTGAACATGTTAATTCTGTACTAAAAAACACTGGAATAAGAGCAGAAATCCCTTGAAGAGGAAATAATAAAGTCATTATGATGGAGCAAAAAACATTTACTAAAATATACTTTATCACGATCATGTTTTACTTAAACAGTTTATTTTTGCTTTCTCCACAGTTTCTTTTGTTTTAAATTCTTAACAATGGATTTCATCTCATAATTGGCTCCAGAATTCAAAAACACATTTGCATGTGCCAAAAAATGGCTAGTAAAATGGGATTAAGCAAAGTGAAATCCGAAAGGTGTATAATCTATATAAACGATGTATAAATTGCAGATACATGGAAGAAGACAAATTTAAGAAAGAAAAAAACAATTCACATCACAGAAACCTCCTGGCTTGCCCCACAATAATCCTAAAATTAATGGTAGAACATATTGGTACCAGCAACGAATCTGCTTTCTGATATAATTCTTTGGCATAAATCAGCGTCCTGTTGATGCAACTGACTGTCACTGAGGAGGACAAGCCTTCATTAAACCACAGTTGGAACTTCTCCCTGAAAATGCCAATTTTGTTTCCTACCGCTCTCCTGTTGGGTTTTCTATTTTCTCTCCTGCCGTGGGGCAGTTCTTCTAGTGCAGAGCAGGGTGGCACCAGGCCCGAGGGTCAAGTTACTGAGTGTTTCTGACCTGAGGAGGAGGAGGAATGAAAGGCTACTTTTCTCACTTGGTGGTTCCCAGAACTATTCCAGAAATGATAACATTTAAAGTCAAGTTTGAAGTCATTTTTATGACGTATACTGTGACTGAAGGCTCCCCAAGTTAGCTCGCTTTTCAGAATTGAAGTAACAACGTCTTTTTCTATTACCTCTGCTGTTGGATGGTCTCCTGTCTGTTCTGCTTTTGGGGTGGCCCTTCTGGTGGAGGGGAAGGGTACGTGGTCCCAGGGTTGAAAGTCAAGTTACTGAGCCCTCTATCAGTATTGCTGAGCAGGAGGGGAGAGAAGCTGCTGTGTTTTCCTGGAAACTTTCTTCTTGGGGCACATGGGAAGACTCAGGATTGAAGGCTGGGTTAGACTTCAATGGTCGGTTCATGGAAGCTAAGTGACAACTTGAAGCTCCTCCTTGGATCTGTGGGTTTAGACAGGAAGGTGATGCTCAAGGCTCTCAAACTGCTAAAAGTTGGCTAAGACAGGATTCCAGGCTGTAGCTTCCAAGAGTTTTAAAAGAAAAAAGTGAGATAATTTGACATTTATTAAGGATCTCTATATATTAGGGACTAAACTAAGAGATGGAGACACAAACAATGAATAAACCAGAATATCCAGTCTCAAGGATACAGCTTAATGAAGGAAAAGTGACAGTTGAAACACAATGTTTCAGTGTTATGATATAGGTGTGAGCAAGGTCTTTACTGGAGCAGGAAAAGTTAGCACCCAATTCTGTTCAGTCTACTGGGATCATCCTTCTCTCCTTAAGCACAGTCTTAATCTTTAATTTAGACTTTACTAAAGTCCTCCAAGTCTTCTATACCACAACCTGTATTTTCCAAAGTTACAAATATTGCCAGTCTGTATGGCACTTAGTCATATTTCAAAAATTTCATATATTTCATTCCTAACATCAGAATATTCCTCATCTTCCTACCCATCAGCCCTTACTGGTCTTCCCGTACTCAAACAGCGTAGTGCAGTGGTTCTCACACTGTAATGTTCTTAAGAGTCATACTTGGAGACTTGTTAAAAATGCCTTTTTATATACTTATCTAATATAATTTTTATGTCTGTGGTCTATAAAACATACTTTGAGAAACACTACTGTGATGGTTAAGAGCATGGATTTTTTAATCAAGGTACATCAGGGTTTGAATCCTACCTTTTTTCCATTTATTAACTATGTTATTACCATGGACAAAATTACTTTGCTACTGAATCTTCCTTTCCTCATGTATAGGAGGATAATGATAACATCCACCTATGTGAGGTTTAAATGGGACGAAACAGACAAGGCAGTTAGCAGGGTGTCCAGCACATGGTAATTATTCAATAAATGTCAGTTATTGTTTATTAGCATTATAAACAAGTGTAAAAATTAGCTTTTCTAATCAAGTCCATCTGAATCTGATTGGTTTTGTCTTTCCAAGAACTTACATTAGTTAAATGCCCTGTTACACAAATTATTCTTTATCAGTTACTGTACTCACATTCAAGTGATACATGTTTTTCATAACTTGTTTAAAATTGGTGTGGTAAGCCACAGGCAGCCAACAGCCCCAAAATGACATTAATGACATACTGTCATCAGGATTTTTGGCAAGACTACAAACTAGGAGATTTGATTTTGGTTTTTGACCAGTTACTGTCATTCTTCCACTTCCCATCCCACCCCACCAACACAAATAACCCATATGATGACTATAAAGATGTTAAACAGTCAGAAGTGATTAATTTTGGCCATACCTCCTTAGCCACCAATTTTGCATAGATTTAGTGTATCCAATGACAAGATTTGAAATTACATGTTTTCTGTATTAACTCAGGATATGATTTGTTTATATATACATATTTAATGTACTATATACATATTAACATAGAAATCTATACATACACACATAACTAATATTCATCCCTTTTATTACTATATGTTTTTCATTGTATACCCAATAAATTGGACAGATTTTTAAAGAAACAGAGTGTCTAGAGATCTTAGAAGCACCTATGTATTATCTTCAATCACAAGGTTATACATTTGTATAAAAAGCTGATACTGGATCCTTGGTACAACTAATGTAGTATTTATGCAACACTTTTGGAGCAGCAAATTACTTCCATTAAAATCATCAGCCCACCAAAAGAAAGCTACAGAGCCTGCAAAATACCCGCCGCCCAGAGCATCGTATATGTCGCCGACAAAGCCAAAGTCACGACATGCTGCACGGAAGCAGATCTGTCAGACCTAAGTGCCTGCCGTACTGTAGGGTAATGACGACACACCCACCTAGTTCGTGTCTGTTGATGATGTAACAAAGAAATAAGTACATTATCTTAAAAAAAACAAAACACTGAAACTAAAAACAAGCAAACTTTCCCACTAGAGTTCAGTTAAAACCTAATTCCTACAGATCACTAAATAAATAACTCAAATTTAAATTACCTTTAATTTTACGTTAGTGAGTTAAAGACCAATCTTCCTTGCATGTGATGTGTAAAATATTAAATATTTCAGCAAATAATATGTAGTTTGAGGCAACTTAACAATATTATAAATCTAACTGGAACTCAGAAGTGAGTTCAAGTGTCTCTTAACGAGGCAAAAGAGGTCCACTAAAAGCAGAAAAGAAATCAATTTATATATAAAATCAAACGTAAAAGACACAATTTTTCCCCCTTCCTGAAATTCATGATGAAACAGTACTATTTCTAGAAAACTCTTGCCTTCCAAGGGCAGCCACAGTATTAGGTAAATATAAAAGTAGAGCTCACTTTGGTTTTAGTTATATTGAATACAACTGTGCTTTAAGCACAGTATTTTTACTTTCATTTACCTTATGTAAACTTATGAAAAGCATTTTTCCTATTTTAAACATAAGTAACCTAGGAAAAAACAAGCAACAATTAATTCAAAGAATTTATATTTCGATGTTTGAATTCCTAGAAGTCTGAACAAATGTAAGTGGCTGAGAATGATTATGATTATTTAAGGTCAACAAAATGTTTATAATATTTTTAGATAATGAGGCTGAACCTTTACTTACCCCAAACTAATAACTATGCAAGATATAACTCTACTAGAGCATTCATCATTGTAATTTCTGTAATTGGTGTACAACAAATATTTTTAAAATGATAAGCAAGAAGCATTTCTGCTTTTTAAGGGAATGCTATTTTCATGAAAGCTTTTTCTTATTGACTTTCATCACAGCAGTCAAAATTCTTCTCTCAAGATCTTAAAGAACAGCAAGTATAATAGGTAACTACTGATAGTCATGTGTTTCTACAAAAATCAGGGATTTTCTTCCATTTGTTCAGAAACTTTCTAACAGAGATATTTAACCAGGTCATGAGTTGAAATCTGGTTGCTCAGTAAAGACCCCCTCGACCCCTCCCTCCAAAATAAAAGGAGAAAAATAGAATTGCTAAAGCTAAGATTTAGAAAATATACTTAAATTAAGGATAGCAAGTGATATTTCAGCTGGTTAGTAATTGACATAAGGCATGTACATCTCCTAATGCATTGTTTTATGGAGAAAGGATCTACAGAGTCTCAGTCAAACAATAAAGTGTTCAGGACTTACTAATAGCTGTTCATAGCTAGTGTTGAGAAGAAACTGCTATGTTTGTATATGTCTTGAATTAACATTTATTAGTAAACCACTAAGCAATATTTTTCTGCCTCTCTTCACTCCCTAGATCAGCTTCTGGATGTGTAAAGACTTCAGAGTGCTCCTAGAACAGTGCATTTTTTTTTAAAATGAAGAAACTATTCTGGAGAAAAAAAGATCTTGTTTATGAAAAAGGAATGTTGAAGATGTACTAGCGATGCCTCCCTTCTGTCCTCCCACTACCACCGTGAGGCCATCACCAGCACCCATGCCATCACAAGGACTCCCAGTTAGCACAGTAACAGAAGCAGGTGTAGATGTCAGAACTGCACCCATCTGGTCCTTTAGCATTAATAAAATACTCTCACATGCATCATGTAGCTTAATCCTCATGTTCAACCCTGGTTAGGTTACCTCACAATCAAGTACTGTTAGCCTGACGTAGATGATGCTACTTCCTAAGTGCATAATAGAGCTAGGACAATTACATGGGTCTCCTGGTATCTACTTAAGTGACTTGTCCACTACAGTACTATAAACTTTGGGTATTCAAATATTTTCACTTGGCTACCAATAGTTATCTTTGAAGATAAAAGTTATCTAATCTGGGAAAAATAATTTGTTACATATTTTCAACAATATTATTTTAGAACACAGTGGTCACCAGCTAAACTGTATAGTGTATGAGTAGCAAATTCAAAGTCAGAGTATAGACAGATACATGGAATATGTGCAAGGACCAACAAAATACTGAACTCACAGATGGAGAGACAAATGCACAGGAAAAAAAGAGTGAAACTATGTGACACTCCCTGAACCAGCTGCAATATGCTGAAATATAACCAGCGCTAGAAAGCTAGAACTGACAAGCTACATAACATATCAGTTATAATATATGTGTAGCATGACAGAATTTAGGGAAGAATAAAAGGTATTCATTTTGCTGACTATCAATTCAGGAACACAAACACTGACTGGGAGGCCAAGATTGGTAAAGAAGACATATATTCCAGCATTACGATACACTTGTCATAGCCTCTTATCTAAGCTGGACCTTCTCCAAAAGATCTACATTCTAAAATGTCTTCTGAACGTAACTGCAGAGCTCTCTTATATTTCTCCAAAAGAAAATATAGTATTTTCTCCCATAGTAAAATCTGTGTATACTCATTGTGAAAAAACTTAAAACACAGAAGAAACAAAGTACAAAGAAAATCTGCCTGTAATTCCATCCATTAGACACATCGCAGTATAGCAACTCATATTCTGTAAATTTTTCTCTGAGTCTATGAAAGTATGCATGCAGAATGAAAATAAATATGTATAAATATATTTGCTATGTAAATATAGCAATCATCTATCACCTATCAATATGAACCATACATTATATAAACTTCTTTAAATAGTAAAGCGTTAATTAGTAAAAACATGTATTTGAAAACCTAAATGCTATCATAGCATATATTACTATTTTGCAACTTACTTATCTTTTATCTCTTCATAATTGATCTTTTTACAGATCCCCTAATTCCAAGGGTAATTCTTTCATAGGTACATTTTATTTGGAAAGATAAATTTCATTTACTATATAATACAAATAGAATAAACCAGTTTTAAGACTGTAGACTTATTTTCATCTATAAATTCTAAATAAAGTAAAATAAAAAATGCTTCATTACACAAAAGGAGTATTTTGACTATCTAACATACAGTTTTGACTAACTGTATCTGACAAAAATCTAGAACGTAAATGAAAAATTCTCATTGATAAAGACTTCATTTGTCATATGTCCAGAAGGCAGTCTGTAAC